GTTTACAGCGTGCTTCTGTCTCCACGCTATTGTCGCCCTGTTGATGACGTCAGCTACGCGGTTTCGTCGAGCACGCTTTAGTCGAACGCGGTTTTGTGGTGGAACCCAGCAGACACCCAGGTACATTTAGGTATGCAATAATAATACAGGACGATTGATCAAGGAGAACATTTGTAGCTCAAGGTTGAAATAAGGGGATCTGAGGAAGAGGAGGAGGAGGAGGACTGTGGGGTCCTTGATGCTCTCTGAGCATGGTTGTTTTCTTGCAGACCTTTCATGATCCAACTAGGTAACATCATCAGTGTTAGAAGGGAGTGGGGTTTGTAGGGAGGAGGAGGAGGAGGACTGTAGGGTCCTTGCCAACCCAAGATAAAGACCAAGAAGGGTATTCATGACCCAAGAAGGATAATAATATCACCAGTGTCCATCATTCATTCATCTTCTTCCATTCATCGCTCAGACGTTCCTATAACATGATGAATGTACAATGTGGGAACTAGCGTGCAATGTTGCCAAGTTGTCAGCTGCCACTTTCATCGACAGAGAATAACCTGGATTATAAAGCCAGCGGTTTGAAATTGACCAAACCCTGATTTGTGGGCAAAGAAACACACACACAAACACACACACGGCAATCCCCCGAACCAGCTACAGCTCACAAGGCTTAATGCACCAAATAGAAGCGCATGGCCCTCTCATACACGCCTACTTTTAAATGCAGCCAGTAGCTTTCCTGATTGGCTGGCAGTCTCTTTATCCCTCCACTAGAAAAGGAGAACGAATCAGCTGTTGGAAGAAGAGGCCTTTGGGCTCGGACCAGGAAGTATGATAGATGCTGTGTTGTGAGAAAGCAAAGTTGTAAGTATCTTTTGACTGTGTGTCTGTGTGTTTATGTGTGAAGTTCTTCTTGCCAGCTGTGACTTTCGGGCAGGGTTTCCACCTCTGGCGTCACTCGGCTGCTGAATTAAATCCTCCTTCAAAGATTGGGCTGTGCAACGACAAGAAATACTACGAGCGGGAGAGAATATTTGCAGCTCAAGGTTGAATAGGGGTGTCCTTGGTCTCTCTCTGTCACTTTGCAAGAGGGTGGGGGGAGGAGACACAAAGGGATCTGGTGCGAGATTCCCCTACAAACTAAGAGATTTTAGTTTATTGTCTTTTTTTCTTCCTGGCTGTTTCCAGGCCTGTTTCTATTGGGAAATCACCGTTGGCTTTTGTACTCCAAACAGGAACGATAATGGAAGTTAGATTTTAATTTGAAAGTTGAATCCTTGTGAAGTTGTAGGAAGGAAATGCAATGCCCAAAGTCCAGGCTGTAAATGCAATTATTAAACCCACTGCACTGGAAAGAGTCAGAAGTCAATGGTTTTCTCTCTCTCTCTCCCACTCTCTTTGTCTCCCAAACCGGTTTCAGTCCTCTCCGGGAAGGAATAGTTTCGGTTTAATTTACCCGGGAAGTGTGTTGTGCAAACTTGGTGACTGCTGTTGAGGTTTTTCAGAAGCGGTTGCAATAATCTAGATGGCAGATAAGAATTTGGTAGCTGGCAAACATTCCAGTTCTCGCCTTTCCATTGTCTGGATTTTCTGCAACTCAGATCCGGATTGATTGTATTGTTTCCTCTTAAGCTGTTTACTCTTCTTTCTCGTTTTTTTTCTAATCTTTTTTACAAATCTTTTTCTAATCTTCCTTTTTGGGAATCGTTTTGTAGGCTGGGTAATCTGGTCTCCCGGTTAGCGATAAGGGAAATGAATGGAGAACCTTAAGACTATATTCCCAGAAAGTGTGATGGTTAATCAGTATATTTTAAGTTGGGTTGCTTCAGACCCCATCACTGTTTATCAACCTTGTCAGCGCTGAAGTGTGAGTTGGACTTCGACTCCCAGATCACCCTGAGGAATTCTGGGAGTTCCACACACCCCTCGGACCAGGGAATTCTGGGAGTTGAAGTCCACATGTCTTAAAGTGACTGAAATTGGGAAATCCTGGTTTAACTAGCACTTGAATGAACCTTCTGAAATGACTGGGCTGTGTTCCCTTTCTGTTGAGGCTGGGCTGTTCAGTTCTAGCATAGAGGGTCTCTTTGACCCTCCTTCCAGTTTTGCATCCAGTTTTGGTCACCACACTATAAAATGATGTTGAGACTCTAGAAAGAGTGCAGAGAAGAGCAACCAGGATGATGAGGGGACTGGAGGCTAAAACATGAAGAACGTTTGCAGGAACTGGGCATGGCTAGTCTAGGGAAGAGAAGGACCAGGGGAGGCAGGATAGCATCTTCTGATATTTGAGGGGCTGCCACAGAGAGGAGGGGGTCAAGCTATTCTCCAAAGCACCTGAAAGCCAGACAAGGAAGAATGGATGGAAATTGACCAAGGAGAGATTCAACCTAGAAACAAGGAGGAACTTTCTGACCGTGAGAACAATCAACCGATGGAACAGAAGTCACATTAGAAAGTTGTGGGAGCTTCATCCCTTG